AGATTTTCAACAATATCCTGAAAACCCTTAGTTCCAAAGGCAGTTTGGGATTAAGTCATTAAAACACTACCAACTGAAAGTGATTATAATGCCAAGTCTTGGCTCTAGTCAGTGGTCTTTCTCTTTCACTGTATTTCTCATTTGTTCTGCCTTGTCTTGCTGCTGTTCAAAACCAAATCACCCTTAATTTTCATATCCAGGTATCACAGATAATTCAGTTTATTTTAATATTGAAGATGTATTTATATTCCGGCGTTTTAACAGTTGCAAACTTGCCATTTCACTTTCAATTTTATTTATTTATATTTTGAGACAGAGTCTCCCTCTGTCACCCAGGCTGGAGTGCAGTGGCGTGATCTCAGCTCACTGCAACCTCTGCATCCTGAGTTCAAGCAATTCTTCTGCCTCAGCCACCTGAGTAGCTGGAATAACAGGCATGCATCACCATGCCTGCCTAATTTTTGTATTTTTAGTAGGAACGGGGTTTTGCCATGTTAGCCAGGCTGGTCTCAATCTTCTGACCTCAGGTGATCCACCCACATCAGCCTCCCAAAGTTCTGGGATTACAGGCGTGAGTCACCGAGCCCGGCCACACACTTGTGATTTTTCTAAGTGGAATAGAGGAAAGTTCTTAGGATGTTAATATATCTTCTGGGAAGAAATGTTTCCATGATCAAATAAGTTTAAAGGACCCTTGGTTCCATAAAGCTAAACATTTTATTTTTACTTTAAGATTTTTCAACACAGTTAATTATGTTTAACTGAACTTTTATTTACCAAGGGAAAGGGGTTATGGCATGTGGCATTTCAGAAACTTATTTGACAATGGAACCCTTTTTTCTATCTATACAATTTGAAAAACATATTAATAGCTCATTTTTACAAATTTTGTGAAATTTAGGACATGAAAGGAAGTTTTCAGATCATAATCTAACCCATACAATAGTAGCTACTATCTGTTGAGTGCCTCTTCTTTGCTATATTGCCTATAAATACTATTTCATTTAGTTCCGTGAACCAGGAAGGGATTATTATACTTATTTTTAAAATGAGGTTACGTGGCCAGGCATGGTGGCTCATTCCTGTAATCTCAGCACTTTGGGAGGCTGAGGTGGGGAGATCACTTGACCCCAGGATTTCGAAACCAGTCTGGGCAAAGTGGCAAAAACCTTCTCTACAACAAATACAAAAATGAATTGGGTGTGGTGGCACATGCTTTTAGCCCCAGCTACTTGAAAGGCTGAGGCAGGAGGATCACTTGAGCCCAGGAGGTCGAGGTTGTAGTGAGCTGTGATCATGCCACTGCACTCCAACCCTGGCAACAGAGTGAGGCTCTGAAAATAATAAAAAATAAAATAAAATAAAATAAAATAAAATAAAATAAATTCAGGGAAGATAAACAGTTTGCTTGAGGTCATATGGTGATTAACAGTCAAGATTTGTCTTTGAAGTTTTTCTACTGCATCAAATTTGTGTCTTCATGGGGAAATTAGGGGATTTTTAACTTTGAAAGCAGAATATTTTTGAAAGCAGGCTGGGCATGATGACTTACACCTGTAATCTCAGCACATTGGGATGCCAAGGTTGGTAGCTTGCTTGCCTGAGTAACATGGGCACAACAGTCTGATCAACAAGGTGAAAACCCATCTCTATAAAAACTAAATTCAAAAAAAAAAAGAGAGAAAGGAATAGATTTGAAAGCAGAATACATTTTCCAAAGATAAATACTTGAGACATAAATGTTTTCCAATATCAAAGTATCAATACTCAGCACAGGAATAAACCAATAAATGACATTAAAAACAGTTCATATCAAAGAAGACATACATGAGGCCAACAAACATATGAAAAAATGCTCATCATCACTGGTCATTAGAGAAATGCAAATCAAAACTACATTGAGATACCATCTCACGCCAGTTAGA